AACATACTATTTTCCTAGATCTCTGTTTTATCAACACTCTCTCTCTCAGCTGCAATAAATGTGGTGCTTGTTATCTTCTGTGGAAATGAAACTCAAATGTCTTGGCCATGGATGTGGAACCTGGCCCCAATTCAACCAATTCTCCCCATGCCCCGGAAAAGCTATGGGATGAGGAGAACATCCTATCTCTGGTTATTAGGAGAGCTCTGTAGTGTGTATATGTGTGGGCAGGCGGGAGAGCAGTCAGCCAGCCCAACCCATCCATGTGCCTGTGCGCTAATGCAGTGTTAAAGTGGGCACATTACCACCAGAGGGAGCATAAGCATTCAAGTAGAAAACAAGATAGCCTGTGTCAAGAGAGGGAGAGAGAAAGAGCCACTCCCTCCGGCATATTGTAGACCAGACAAAATAACAAGGCGAAAGATCAGACAGGGGTCCTATTACTACTGTAGGCATGCACCCCGAGCTGGCCCTGCTTTTCACTGCTGAAGAAGACAATCCGCACAGCTGCTCAAACATTCACTTTCATCTCTCCCTTTTTTTCTTATTGCAGCTTGTGCTTGTCTCCTGTAGCAATAAGTGTTCTCTGCAAGCTGCAGGAGATTGGAAGGTGTATTTTTTTTTTCCTGCTGTAGCAGAAACACAAATTTCATCTTTTCTCCATTTGTTTACCGACATGGTTCCAGTTGCACATTTTCCAGTGTTATTGAGCCCTGCAGGGACCATCATTATCCCCTTATAGAATTCCATGTTTCTTTTTTTTTTTTTTTATATATACACATTTGCAAATGCCGGAATATTGTTTAGTCTAGTTCTTTTTGAGCTTGTGGTGCTAATGTCATGATTTTTAAAAAGTGAGCCTGCTGCAGTGCCTGTAATACTTGTGCGTGGGTGAGTTATGTATTTTCCCCTTTCATCATTTTCCACAGAACTTTTTTCAAATCATCAGCAACCTCTTGGAGGAGGAAAATCAGGAGAAATGGGAAGATGCACAAAAGGTAAGCAAATGTGCAGTGCTCCTAAATAATTCAGATTCTTACATGTTTTGTCAGAAATATTGCTTCTCACTCTATCTAAAATTCCATCTGAAAAAAAAAAAAAAACAAAAAAAAACTCTGATAAATAAAAGCCAAAATGGGATAAATAAAATTCAGGTGTGTTTTGTGAAGTTACTCCCCAACGGAAGGCGAGGTCATTTAGCAGACTTGACATCTGGCCTCATTTAGGAAATCAGTACCGCAGACTTCCACTTGATGGCAGCAGCACAGTCATAGAAACTGTCCAGCCATTAACACTGCAGGATTCATTCCTCCTGCATGCACATTGTTTTATCCAGCCCACACAGATCATCGTGTGATTAGAGTAGTGCTTAAGTTGAATTTTAACAAATGCACACTCAATTCAGACATTTTATAGCGTGAGGCAAAGCAGCCACATCTCCATTTCCCGCTTTTCTTGTGTGACATTGACACTGCAACCCTGATAAAAGTAAATACAAATAAAAGAAGATACCCCAGGACTTCTGCTGGGAACCCTCCTGGACACTAACCCCCTTCTTGAGAGGTGGCATTTCTTGTTTTGAAAACTACCCCTGTGTCTAAGACATCTTGAATTCTGAAATCACACATGTCCAGACTCTGACAGAGACGCCATCTGCAGTGACCACAGGTCTGCAAAGGGCATCTGCTCAGGTGTCACTTTCAGTGGTAAACTGACTGAAATAGGGTGTCACCTGCTCTGACACATCAAGACAAAGCTGTCCCCTTGAAATAAACCGGATCTCTCCGGCTTTTACCCCCCACTCCCCTTTGACTGAAAGTTACCTTGCTTAGCTGAAATTGAAGCAATTTTAAGCAGTGCACGGAGAGCCTGCCTTTGCTGTCGATACAGGTAGTAATTAGGTGTTTACATACTGGAGCCTCCATTTACCAGCCCCCATCGAAATGTTGTCTGATAGAAGAGCTCATAAACAAGCGGTTTCATTAGTCAGAATGCGTCACAGACGGGTACGGACAGACTAGCGAAAATGTAGACTGTGGAAATGTTTGCCACTGATTGAACACCGAGAATGTAGATGTGACAAGATAAATTATTTTTGTCGTGATTAATGTGTGTGTCTGGTTTCATCACCCCAGCGTTTGGACAGCGACATTGCCTGATTTCAACAGACGACACTCACACTTCACAGCTAAATGTTCTTCTCACTTGTGGGTTTTGCTTGCATTTGTGAGCTCCGTCTCCACAGCACCCACACATGTGCTGCACACTGTGGAGGTATAAAACTCCTCTTACATGACACACCTCACTATGAGCTTTTACTGGCTGCAGGGCTGGCTCTGTGCAGAGATCACTATAAATTCACCTCTTGTCACTGTTACCATGGCAAGCGAAGGAAGAGCTCTGTCTACACAACCTCCACTGCAGCCATTTTCCCATGCTGCCTTCACATCCTACGGTTACCATGGAGACGAGCAGAGTGAACATGACTGCACTCTGCGTCAGAAGGGGCGATATGACGCTCCACCCTCAGCCCCAACCCGTTGTGGCTTTCACTTTGCTGTGTCAGAGGCTTTTGACTTAAGCATCTATGATCAACTTAGCAGGCTTAACTGCAGCTCATGTGGAGGCACATGCAAACACACAGTGCACAAGGTGTTACAAAGGAGTGCCTGGAATACCTGCCTCGGGTGTTTGTACCATATCAGCTTAGACCAGGGTGTAAATTGCTAATTGCCACTCAAAGGTTTGTCTAACCTTGCCTTGATAGATGTGTGAGCACATATGTCAAGGTGTGCTCACACATTTATCTAAGCCACGCACTAATATGTGTATGATTTGAAATAAACCATGTCTAGCACTGAAATGTATTGCATCACTGGTTTGTGAGTCTGAAACATGTTCATGCACAACACATTTGCATTTATGTAAAGTGGAGTATTCATAAAATCCTAGATTCTTTCTGAACAGAGGTCCAAACATTTACGACCCATCTATTAGAGTAACATCCCTCAAATTCTTCATTTGTACAGCACAGCTGACTGGACCAGTTGTGCTACAGGTCATGCCATGTCCCTGTCCATGTTGCATGCTCTTGCTTAGTGCCAGGGCACATCGGGTGGCACATGGACAGAGGCAATTGCCCTTAACTTGGCTGGGGCTTTAAAAGAAGAAGCCAACCAGAAACTGTGCTGGCAAAGCCGCTGATTACAGCTCTGCTGCTGATGTCACATGAGTGGTTCAGTCCCATATGCACCTCATGATTTTTAGTTTGTCTTTTCAGAAGTCTGTATATATGTTGTTATTGTTTTTATTAATTGAGTTTTTTGAGCTAGGAAGGATAGAATAAGGAAAAGCACATTAGAGTTACCTCATCACACCGCTGCAGCTTTATTTGTAAAACCACAACATAAACACAATTGTGTGACATCATATCCTAGAAAAGAAATAAAAATAAATCTGGAAGAAAATTGTGTATGTGCACAGGTCAGATTTAACAATAGTTACAATTCACAGTTGCTTGAAGACACCACAGTAATTTGTTCAAACACCTATTTGCAAGATAAAGCATAGCATCAATGTACAGACATCTTTGGCTCAGAAATGGGATAGGTTTTCTCTGATGGAAAATTCCAGCAAAATACTTTGCAAAGTTTGCATAAGAATACCCTAGCCATGTTTGCATTTTAAGGGCAAATGCTACAAAACAAATGACTTTTGACTTTGAAGACAATGAAAACAAATCTTTCAAAAACATTAGCTCTGCTTTTTATGACAGTTAGCTAATAGAAATAATTTTGGTACTCCAAACTGGTCTAGAACAGCAAAAAAAAAAAAAAAAAAGTCCCTGACAGAGAGACAAAAGATTAATCTCTACTTTTATGCAGTGCATCTAAATATTTGGTTTCGACTTATGTATAACTGTGTAACAAACAGTATTTGGGCTTGTTTTGATCCTTAGTATCTCTCAACAAACATTTACCAGTGTTGAGTTGTAAGAAAATGGAAGCATTTTTTAGTATCCTTTTGTCCTTCTTATCTTGTTCAGATCTACCCTGCGGCAGTGGAACTCATGCAGGTCATAGAGGAGTTCATTCATATTGTTGGACTGGGCATGAAGGATTTCCACAATGCCTATCTGATGACCGGAAACTTGGGTAAGAATCAGCTCCCTTTCCCCCCTCCCAGACCCGCTGGCTTTGAGTTCATTTCACCACTTATCTCATCTCGATGTGATAATAATCCCAGCGCTCCGCTGTCTCTCCGAGTCAATTTCCCCACCATCATTAAATTAGGATAAATGGAGGATGGTAAGGTTGAAGGGAGTAAAATTACTGCAAATCAATAATCTTAATTAAAACTGATCTTGTGGTCTCAATGTGCTAAATTCCTATGACGCCGACAATTCCAGTTTCACAAAAATAAGGGAGAGAAGGGACCCACTAAAAGTACTCTGAATGCACTTTTATTGTTTCAAATGTTTATTTCAAGAGTAACATAACATATTAATTGTGTATTTGAAGTTGAAATAATAGTGTCTGACATGACACTGCCATGCAGCTCTTTGAGTAAGGCTTGATTAGCATTTTGTACCCTGAGGCATGTTTTTTTGTTTGTTTTTTGTTTTTGTTTTTTTTTCTGTAGCGCATCATCACAAAAAAAAAAACAACACTCTTTGTTGGTTCCTTGCAACATTCTTAAAAAAAACATACTATGCAAGTTACTGATGAAAAGCTATAAAATTGGAAGTGAAATTAGCAACGTTATTCTTTGCAGCTGTAATGGACTTTTCTGCTACACTGATTTTTGTCTTTTTTACATCTCCTCTTGTTGGTCTCTGGAGTCTGACTACAGAGTTTATGTAATATTTTATTTCTGTGGAGTTCCTTTGTGTTCTTTTAATTTCTGTTGCATAGCATCTTGGAGAATCAAAAGTCCCTGCGGTCTCATTTCATTTCTTTCCCTACAATGAATGGTGTCTTACTAGAATGGAATAAAGGAGAACTGTGGTCTAGACTCATTCATGGATGGAATGCATACATTTACTGTGTGGCTTTAGGAGGGTGGATTCTTACTTGTATTCCTCCAAGATTTGAACCACTTTCAGTAACTGTGGTTCACTATGTGAAGGGGAAGGTGTATGATTTCCACAATGATGAATACTTAGTTGCCTGAAACAACATACCCTGTCATTCAGTGAATGTGCATAGTAGTGGAGACATTTAAATCAGATTTAGGTTATAAAACCAAATACTTCCACACCATTAACTACAGAACTGACCAGTTCAAGAGAAATGTATTGGGAGTGCAGGCCAGTCCTTAAACAGAACATTTACTAGAAAATAAAATTGAATACAATCCCAGTACAATTCTTTGAAGTTTTTGGTGGTAGTGAGACAAAGTGTAAAAAAAAAAAAAAAAAAAAAAAAAAAAAAAGTAAAAAATTTTCGTTGCTTTTTTTTTAGAAAAAAACCTAATCCACCAAAAAGGGGCTTTAATTTA